TCTGCAATGTTAACTTGCCTCCCCCTTTGTTGATTTGGGGCTACCAATGGGCAATTCACTCTTGCTGAAATTTTGCAAAACTGAGGGGTGTATGAGTTGAAAATTTTTACGTGTCACCACAAAATTGCTTTCTTTGGACGTCACATGATAGTGATAAATGCTACGCTGGCAAACCAATTTTGCATGAATTATGCAAAGGTAAAATAATCGTTCAAAAAAAGACAGTGCGTGTATATTTACTTGTCTACGTACCGACCTGGCCATGTGATGTGCTGGGCATAGCCTTATGGCGAAAAATCTCATAAAATAGCAGGTGAATGCGTTACTCTGGTAGGTTGCGGGCATTTATGATGTTTTGGTGAGATGGTGAGCGTATTATTAGGAAAAGAAATATATTCAGGCCTTTGGGAAAGCATGAAGGCAGGTAATTGATGAGGTATGTTTATGCTGTCACATTCACGACCAGAGAGTGATGTTTCCGATTCGGTTCATGGGTCTCCAGCCGCACTTTTTGTTTTGCTTCACTCCTCTGTTTCGAGAGAATGTACTGAAGTTGTGCAGAAACACATTTATGGGTGCATTTATTTCGGGAAGTTTTGTCAGTATTTCACCATTCAGCCTAGTCCTGATATTTGGGAAACTTAACTTGTCACACACAGGTAAAACTAGGATCACGTGCGTCTTCGCACCAGTTATCTTTAACTTTGCAGAACGTGTGCAAGTTTGTCATTAACAGAACGTCGAATAAATGATGAGCATGCTGTTATGTTTCCCATGAGCATGATATTATGCTCGCCCTCTCGATGAGATACGGTCACGAACATGAACTTGAGAAAATTAATAGTTCACATACATTCAAAATTTGCCGATGAGTTTTAGCGTGCGCCCGGCCGGGGTCTCAGACAACCGGGCCCGGGCGGGATGGGGGGGGGGGGGAGGAAGGGAGGGGGGAAGAAGGAAGTTCACTTCCCCTTGAATCTCCAATTTCCAGACGTCGTGTAAGAAAAGCAAATTATGCCGTTGTGAAGGTCTCGTCAAATCATGAAGGGTGCACACTGCGTTCTTTAACCTAGGTCAAACGTGTGGTCACCAGAGGCCACGAAGAAAAAAAGGTCGTTCTGGTAGATGCGGTTAAAACACATGTTAACACGTCAAGACGGATCTTGAGGGCACATAAGTAAGTGTTAAGACTGTGGGGTGTCCATTGCGACCATTTTTTCCCCTACAAGGACCAGTTCAGATCAGGTCACCGTTCAAAATTGATCTACCATTAGCCCAAAAGAACGATGCTTTTTTGCTTTCTTCACAATGTGCTTTTGACCACGTTACTGTACAGGGTGTAGCTGTGGAACAAACTATTCCAGACACAAAAGCACAATTTTAGGGTGATCTAGAGGTTATCTGAGGCCAACTTAGATCAAATTCATATACCATCCAAATGAAAAGTGTGAAGCCCTAACCGGGTCTAGGTGACCACTACACCGTTTTTTCTTTGGTTGGAAATAGTGCGTTGCACATCTATAGATACCCAAGGTTGCACAGCTCTTGTATACATTATGCACAGTATACACACTTCTGACAGCGAGCACTCTCTGCATATTTAGCTCCCATGACCGAGCCGTTGCCACTCGCAGGAGCGGATTGGGTTCGGAATGAAAAATCGGGCAGAGAAGCGAGGATGGCCAGCAAGGAGAGCTTCCGGCAGTGGATTTGTTTGGGAAGTGAGGACGAGCAGACTGGTGTCACCACTTTGGCCACCTCCGAAGGTTGTCAGACGAGGACGTAACAAACCGTCTTTGCGCGAAGCCCATCAATAATTTTGCCCCGGCCATAACTTGCATTTGAGGAGGGAAGATTATCCCCTTGGTAGTGTTCTGCGCGGGATGGAGCGAGACACCAACATTTTTCTGCAGAATTCGGTAGTTCTGAAGATGGCCTTTGTCTGAGGAGAGTTTTTGTTTTAAGGATGAGAGCCATTTACCGGGCTTTCAATGCCCAGATCAGACACGCCGCGAATAGCCTGAGTTAGTTTGTTCGACCGGAAAATATTGGCTTTCCGGAAGGAAACGTTCTCATCCCTTGTTTCATAGCCAAAAATGAGCCGAGTGGATCAAGGCAAGTTTCAGGGTCCTGGTTTAGTCAGGCGTCAATCCAAGACATGCAACGGTCATGGCTAGAATGAGTTGCCTGTCCGATGGAGCCAGGGGTCTTTGCCGGAGTTAAGCGAGGGTCGGCGGGGGTTTGTGGTGGAGCCAGGGGTCTTTGCCAGAGTTAAGCGAGGCCCGGCGGGGGTTCGTGGTGGAGCCAGGGGTCTTTGCCAGAGTTAAGTGAAGGTCGGTGGTGGTTTGTGGTGGAGCCAGGGGTCTTTGCCAGAGTTAAGCGAGGGCCGGCGGGGGTTCGTGGTGGACGTTTAGCAGGGCAGATCCGGAGTCAGAATCCACTGACACTCAAGTTTCGGTGGGAGGAGTAGTGGCGGAGCTAGACGCGATTTCAGCGTTCATGCCGTGGTCAGTGGTAGGTGTAGTCAATGCGCTGGAATCATCGTCGACGTACTCATCAGTGGCCAACGGGCTGTTAATTTTTATGACAAAATCAGAATCACAGTGTGTTCATGGCCTCGTTCTTCTTGCCTCGCTTCTCCGTAGCAGGGGAGCGCATAGAGAACGATAAAATATAGATGTCGAGGTGTGATTAGTGCGAAGTGTGGTGCAAGCTATAGAAACGACGAGCAATAGGAAGGTCTGCTTGGTAGAAAGCTGCAGCAAGGGTAATTGCTCTATCTCAGGGAAGGCCCTGCCAAAATGGCATGGCAAATGACTGGTTCGACGGTGTCTGATCAAATGACAATTTGGTTAGCTGTGGATTTAAGCCCTTTTGACCAGACACGATCATTGCAGGGCTATGGGATGAAGGAGAATGGATAATGATGGGGCACGACTACGTGCGCCTGGAGGCCAACTGCCGAACCTTAGCCTGCGCAAGGGACCTCTCTGCACGGTGTGCGCTGGACGCCCGGTCAGGGTCCCTCTACAGGGGGCCTCTCTGTCCACTCGTGGCTGATGCATGCAGCCTGCCCCTGACAAGTGGGACGCCGCGAGGATTCAGAATAAATAGAAGAAGAGGATGAGAAGGTCGGATAATGCAAGATGCATAACGAAAGTCAATGCGATGCAAACGGCAGCCAGCATGAGGCTTGGCGCAATACGAAAGGACGGAAGGGCCCCACCCCAACCATGCCGAGGTCACTGACCTCACAAACCACTGGGCCACGCCATACCTCCCTCATCAGAGGATTAGCGGGAGAAACTAATTGTGGTGTAATTCCCGACGACGCCCGGCTTGCCATAATACCTCTGACGAATGTCTGCAGAGATATGGATCACCTTGAGCGTTCGCAGCGACAGCAGGTAGCAGCCAACCGCAAGCACAGCCGCGCGCCGCGTCCTCCTCCACCGGCTCGCGACCGCAGAGCGCTGCGGCGGCGGTGGAGCGCTCCGCCGTGCTTCAGCGCTGTCTCCAGCAGATCGTCGCGTTCGACGCGCCGATCCCGGCTGCAGGACTGCCCTGCCCCTCTGCCACGGTCGGCAGCTTCTGGAGCTGCACGTCACACGGTGCTCTCATGGTGCGTCTCTAAGACGGCCGCTCAACCGTTGAGTTTGGCGATTTTGGCTTCGGCACGAGCGATTTTAAGTTTCAACATGCGTGGCGTGCTTCAGAGCGGCGCATCTAACCTCATTATAACGTGTCATGCTTCTCAGCGCGTCTCGATATTCTACGCACACACCAAACAGCCCCGGGTACGTGGCATTGTAATGCATTATGGTTGACACAGTCATGAGTTTTTTTTTAATGAAGTCCAAATCTTTGGATTGCATGTCTTTCTGGGCTGGGTACCCGCGGTAAGCAGCGCTTGTTTCGTGAGACCTGGCGCAATGGTAGAATTACAGCCAACAGCAGAACTTAGCGGCTAAAGATTCGTGAGCCGCAATGTTCGGCACAGCTCACCATGCTCTCTGACGTTACCAGACCGCTAACACGGCCGCTGCCACTGGCCACAGGCTACTCCAGTCGAGAGCAAATAGAGAGTGCCTAAAGCGACACGAACCCACCCTGCCCGAGGTCTGAGAATCTGAAGGCAGGTGCTCTAACGGGCTGTGTTATCAGGAGGGACTATAGTATAGAGGGACTATAGTATAGTATAGTATAGACACCTCTTCTGATGGATCGCATGGACGCGAATTACAAAATTGTTTTTCCTTGAATTACACCCCATGCTTGGTTTTTCACGATGCTGCAGGTTTTCATTGCTTTGAAATGGGAAATTTGTTTAAGGAAGTTTGTGTTGGCTCCGCAGCAAGTAGCTTAGGAATCGACAGAATGTTTAAGAATGTTTCGCTATTTAAACACCGGAGACGCAGCTTTGCGAGTGACTGTGGTACTGGCGTGACCGTATGTCCGGTCAGGCGCCATAAACGGCTGTCTCCCCGCACATGGCCGTGCGCCCTTAACCGCGGTATCCCACCTCCACCGCTTAGTTGGTGATAATATTTAAACGGGACGAAAACGGGGCCAGGTGCGATGAGCGAAATTAGCCCGTCCTGAATCCCGTGTTGCGCTTAAACTGGCAGGGGCCGACGCAACCGGCGACTTACATTGGCAAGCGCCCGATGGATATCAACTCTGGGAGCCCCTCCGTGCCGCCGTGTATAACCCTGCGTTCTGGGCGGTGCGAACTGGTCCCTGCCAATATCACATAACACGCATCTCCTCATGCCGTCACGCCTGATGTCAAGTCCAGTCATGATCTTCATCGCAGCCTATGCCGTCGTCTCTCCTTGGACGTTTACCGGGAATAGAACACCGATTGTTGACGTACCATAAGCCTTAGTTTTTTCAGCCATGTCTTTCCAATGTCGCGGGAGCGCCGACTCGAAAGCGGATTACACGGATAAGCCTGGGATGGTGGAATTTGCTGGCCCCAGTCCGTGACTCACGAGATAATGTCTGGTCAGTTGGAAAGCGGCAGAAGCGGCAGTCGGGCCGCGGAGAAGCTTGCTTGTTTCCACCCAGCAATGAGTGTCGGAGCACGCGCGCCGCTCGGGGCGGTACTCCTGCTAACTCTGTCGACGTGGCCGGCGGACGCGGTACGCACAGCCGACAGCGACCGGCCGGACCTGCTGCCGACGGACTGTGGCCGCCGCCTGGTGAGACCGGACGAAGCCGTCCGACTGTTTATAGTCGGGTCGGGTAACACCACCGCCTTCTACGGCCAGTACCCGTGGCAGGCGCGGCTGGTCGTATATGATGCCAATGCCCGGGGCTACATTCATCACTGCGGCGGCATCATCATTTCGCACGAACACGTGGTGACAGCCGCCCACTGCGTGGTTGAGGTCGTCCCCCATCGGCTGCTGGTGCGCGTCGGGGATCTTCGGATTGACAGCCGCGAGCTTTACGAGCAAGAGTTCGCCGTCGCCAGCTACCAAGTGCACAACCGGTTCGGCACGGAGCGAGGCCTGCGTCACGACGTGGCCCTTGTGCGGCTGCGTCGCCGCGTCGGACCCGGCATTGAGTTCGGCCGCTACGTGCAGCCGGCCTGCCTGCCGGCAGCCGACGCCGAGTACGAGACGTTCCTGCCGTGCGAGGTATCCGGCTGGGGGCGTACCTCAGACGGCGCGCCGATCTCGGAGGTGCTGCGCGGCGTCTCAGTGCCGTTGGTGTCGGACGTCTTCTGCGGCGCGCCCGAGGTTTACCAAGACCGCTTCCTACCCGGCGCCATGTTCTGCTCGGGTCCGACGGGCGGCGGCGTCGACAGCTGCGAGGGCGACTCGGGCGGCCCGCTGGTCTGTGGCGATGCCGACAGTGGTCGTTTCGTGGCGTACGGCGTCGTGTCGTCTGGCGATCCGCTGGGCTGCGGCCGACGACCCGGCCTCTACACCAAGCTGTCAGCATACGTGGGCTGGCTGCTGCGCCGCCTCCAGCTGGACCAGGAAGAGGACGCGGTCCCGAGCACGGCTGTGACCACAACTCCAGAGGTCCCCGGTCGGCCTGAGGGCGACCTGGGCCGGCTTTGCTTCACCCCGGACGGCACGGCCGGCTTCTGCCTCCCGCTGCGAGACTGTCCCGACTTGCTGCCGGCGGGCGGCGGGAATCGGTCAGATCTGTTGGGCCGGCCTCTCTGCGGGCTGGACGCAGCTTTCACGCCGCTGTTCTGCTGTCCCGGACAGGCCGCGCGCAGCGCAGGCTGCGGACGGACCAGCTTCTCGCCGCCGCAGCTGGGTGCTGCGTTCGCCAAGAACGCCGCCAACTTCCCCTGGATGGTGGCCATCAGCGATAAGAGCAGCGGCGTCCGAGGTGACTTTTATTGCGGAGGCGCCGTGATCTCCGACCGGTGGGTGTTGACGGGGGCGACCTGCGTTCAGGCCGAGAGCGGGATAACGGTGCGGTTCGGTGACCTCGACTTACAGGATACATCCGACGACAATCCCAGCGCACCCTCGTTCGAACTGGACATTGTGGAGGTTGTGCGGCATCCCGAGTTTGCACCGCGGAATCGCGCCAGGTCTCAGGACATTGCGCTGATGAAAACCGCGTTAAAAATTACATTTTCTAGCACTGTAAGCCCTATATGTCTACCAGACGCGCTCCCCACATCGACTGTGCCAACGGACAAGGACCTCATCTTTGCGGGCTGGGGTGCGCCCAATTTTGGCGACAATATCGCGCTCTTGTGGCTGAAGTGGGCAAGAGTGAGAGTTGTTGATTTGCAGGGCTGTAGAGCCAATTACACTAAAAGTGCATCAGAGGAAATTTCACAGTTTTTTGGAACAGGTACGTTTTGCATAAAGCTTCTTGAACCAACAACAGATTTCACGTGTGCCGTCAACGCTGGCGATCAGGGCTCTCCCTTTATGGACGTTGTCAGAGAAGGCGGCATTGATAAATGGTACGCGGTGGGGCTGGCTCTTGGTGGAATCGGTTGTGGCATTGACGAGTTTCCGAAAATTAATATCGCGCTTGGACCATCGATGGACTGGATTAAGTCTGTCATCACATCGGTCTCGTAAATGCTATTTTAGTTGTGTGTGTCGCTCAGCAGTGCAATCCTTCGTCTCCACTGTTTTCGGGATATTTCTCGTTTAGTGTGTTCCATGGGCTGAGCTCCGTCAACCGCAGTTTGAAATGGCAACAGCCAAGACACCCTGCTGGCAGCACAATTGTTTTGTTTTAGTTGCGTGGGAGCTGACCCGCGCTTTGACGTTTGACTCGAAATTTCACGTTTGACTTCCTGTGTGGACGGAGTTGATTCCGATTCCTATGTGGACGGAGTTGATTCCGACTTCTGTGTGGACGGAATTAAATCCTATTCCGATTCCTCCTCACAGCGCATGGGTTTGATCGCGAACCTGCCTTTGTACACCGCGACAGCAATGTGAGACGACTCAGGTTTGCGATGGTAGCTGGACAAATTTCGGAATCGATTCAGATGGAGTCGAATGATATCTTGAAATCGCGAATGCTGTTGATCCGTATTAAGCTGATAAAATACACTCCAGGCTTCTCGTGGGCTTCAATGGTTGGGTTCACCTATGGATACCCACACCTAGGAAATGAGCGGCGCAGTTGGCTGGACAGATTTGAAAACGCACCGTCGCGGGTGGAGGGTGCAGGTATGGGTTAGACGTACACCAAATGTCGCGAACATGCCTACAAAATAATGTAAAAAGTTAGCATGTGCGCTCATTTTAGTAATAATAAACTTTGTTCACCTGATTTTTGCAATCATCAACGCAAATAAGTAAATGTGGTCACCAACTTTCTTGAAACTCTCATTAGTCTAGTGCTAATGCGCTGTGGAAAATAACAGAGAATAAGTACCTTGAAGAACCTGTTCTGGCGTATCAATTGAGCGCCTCTGCCCCCATCCAGTGAGCGTGTGGCTTTGCCGTGGGTGCTTGCCAGCCTTCTAAACCCACCCGTCGCAAACCGCGATTTACATTTATTTTGCATAGATTTACATTTATTTGTATATCATTTGTGTATTATTATTATATCATTTGTGTGTTATATATATATATATATATATATATATTATTTGTACGATTTACATTTATTTGTATCTTACTTATTTTGTATAGATGCTGCACTCGTGTAGCATCTATACAAAATAGCTGAATGAAGAGAAGCAGGAATTGAGAATTAATAGCAATGAGGAAATGTACCAGGACTATGTACCGGTTGTGCAACCCACCACACAACCGAAGTATGGAGCTTCGTTCTTGTGTCATCAAGCTTCTAACCTTTTTTGATGCGACTGGTACCCGTTGTATTATGGGCGGCTGTCAAGACGGTTTCGTATTCATATTCACATTCAGATTTACCTTCGAGCCCGGGCCTCTTCAATTTCGCCCAAATTTCGCACACAGGCAGGAGTTACTGAGCAGATAATGGCGTGCCAGTCATTTCCGATCATATTGAAAACTTTCCAGAGGCAACCAAAGTTCAAGGTCATTGAGTCGGACACTACGATTCCGCTCAGCCTGGACCACTACAATTTAGGTAAAACCTCCACACAGGGAGTGTTCAAATCGTTGATCACGCTACAGCAAACCGTTTGGTGTCGCACTGAAGAATGAACCATCTAGAGGCGAAATTGTTCGTTCGACGTGTGAGTTTTCCGAGGTTTGGATGTGAAAACGTTCGCCGTACTCATATTCAAATCTCAGATTCAAATTTGTCTATTGACCGGATCCATATAATTTAGCTAAAACTATGTATGTGGGGGCACTCGATACACTGATCACGCTGCAGCAAAAGCTTTGGCGTGACATGGAAAGATCAGTTTTCTAGACCCAAAGGTCCCCAACGCATTTACATTCAATTTTGTCTTGTTTGGATTAGTTGATTACCGGGGAAACATTGTTGGTATAATAACTTGCAAACAGATAGCACTCATTGCACCGATCGCAATGTATACACCGTATACCGTCGCACTGAAAAATCTGACTTACAAGGTCTCCACAGTTCCAGGTCACTGACCGCGAAATCCTACGACGTAGCTAAAAACACACCCATAGAAGGCACTAGATGCGCTGGCCACGCTTCAGCAAAAACTTCTACGTCACATTGAAAAATGAGGCCTCTAGAGCAAGAACAGTGTTCACTTACTTTACACCGCCGCTTCAGAAACGTATCCGCCGAATATTATAACCACTTTGACTAGAACTGTTGACGCAGAAAGTATTTTGTGTGCTGATCACAACGCAACTGTTTCTTGCAACTGAATTGCTTTCTATCCCCCCCTAAAAATGAGCCTTCTAGGGGCAAGTGAGTCCGCCTTACTCACATTCAATGTTTCAGATTCCGATTCGTCCATCGCCCGGACCCGAACGATTGGTTTAAAAACTTGTGCGAAGAAAGTGCTCAAAGGGGCCCTGCTCGATCTGTCGATTGAACACGATTGTCAGCTGGAATGTGTGCTGTCTTGCGTGCCGGCGCAGCGTTTGATGTGTAGGCTGACGGGAAAGTTTGTGACTTTACCTTTCTTGTTGCCTTTACCTTTTAACTCCTTCAGATCACTAACTCTGATTTACTGCCGATCATGCCATACTCCCTCTAAAGTGCTACATGGAAGCGTGCCTCCGCTGCACTATTGCCAGCTGTTCCACCCGGAAGTTTTGTGCTCCTTCCCATTCCCCTCTCATTTCAATTTCTTACCATCTCTTTTCGAGCGTTTGCTCACTTTTTTGTGGAAGAAAGGTCTATCGATTCGTCACTGCTACCTGTGCTGGCATGAAGCCTATTCTTTCACTGAACTCCCACCTATATTGACAAGGCTCTTGTTCGAGACGAAAGGTGTTTCGCTCCTGTTCTCCATCTTTTACCAGTACTCTGACGCTATTAATTTACTTCGGAATGCAACCACATGCCACACCTATCACTGTCCCTCACCTTCTCATAGCTACTCTTGGCAGCTCAATACTCTTCTTTTCTCTTTTACGTTCCATGCCCCCAAAATTATAGACAAGAGCCCCCAACCCACCTAACGTACTCGCAAACGCAAGAGCTACCACGTCAAACTCGCGCTTCCTTGTCAGAGTGATTTATATAACCTGGCAGCATTTTCTCTCCATGCTGACAGACTGACAAAAAATCGTGGCAGCAGCGTCAGCCCGCTGGTGTCGTCACAAACCACGTGGCTCTGTGGTTACGTGACGTAAGGAGCATGCTCAGTCGTAATTGGTGTCGACGAACGTGCTGTCGACAGATAGAACGTGGCGAGGAAAAGAGAAAGCAAAGAGAAAAAGAGAAAAGAAATGAATTTATATATATATATATATATATACACACATATATATATATATATATATATATATATATATATATCTAAGTGCCCGTATATATTTTGACGCTCTTCTGCGTGTTACGATGCTATTGCATTGTCGGTTTAGTTTGAGACACATCTTTGATGACTTGCTATTTGCACATCTCGTCTCCCCCACGTACGCGAAGTGTCTCTCTGCTTAGTATAAACACAGGCCCGTCTCTCGCTCGCGCCATGACCGACCCCGGCATAAGACTGGCGTGAATATGTGCCTTGGATCGTCACGAAGGTAGGCGCATATTTTACGGCGATCCGTGTAGCCGTCTGCGCTGTTTTTTTTATAAAGTAATGCGAACACACAGGCAGACCACCGCGCGCATGGAAATTAGTGAATCACACGTCGAGCTCGGAAAGCAAATGATGACACAAACCGTGCTAAGAGTACTATCAGCATGCGTCGCTCCTTTTCCAACGTCATTTAAAGCGTCCTTCTCAACAACCTTGTATTTCAGCTACCCCATGAGGAATGAGCACCATCACCGCTCTCAGGACGGCATCCCCACACCGGCGCCAGGCAGCCTGAGATGGTTCCCCGGCCCGCGCAGAGGCGGAGGGAGACGTGCGGCCCCGGTCCCGGTCCGGGTCCCGGTGGCCGGCCCGCTAGCCTGGCAGTGTCAGGGCCGCTCTGCACAGCGGTGGGTGGAGACAGCCGACACGTCGGGGTGGGAAAACGCAGCGGGAAGATAGGGCTTGCCATTCGGCCATATCGTTAAGACAAAAGATAGTTCGTCCAAAATTACTCACATTATGCATCATGTGATTGTGATCGCCAAATTCCATATCCGTCGACCATTGTACATTCCAACGTTTTGAAATCTTTTCTCATCGTCGGAGAAATAAAAGTGGCGCAAAAAAACATTCCCAGACACACAAACTCATTACTTGTGCCGATGGAGGAGGGGGGGGGGGGGGGGGAGAGACAGCTGGATGATACGAAACAACACTCCTGCTCCTGGGTCGGTCAGTGGTATTCTGCTGCGCGGCACAACATACTTTGCAGTCATGGGCTACTTAAATAAAGTATTATTCATTACAGTTTTTACTGAGCCCCTGGGTTCACATCTGATTAAAAAGGCCAATAATATCTTGCTTAACTCATCTAACCTGTCATCTAAGAGTCTAAAAAAACTAGAGCCCAAAGAGAGCAAATCCAAAACCGACACCGCACAGTGGAGCTATTTTGAGCTTTTTGCTTACCGCAAACACTAACAGCATCTACCTGAGAACCCTCTTGATTAGGCATAGCCCATGCGTCTGCGAGGTGCGTGTGGCACTCTCAAACCGTGGGCGCGCTACTGACCGGACTTGTGTTCGACTCAAATTTTTTGAGTCTGCTCAGAACTAACTCGCAGATTTTGGGATCCGATTCAGCTCACGACTCAAGCCGTGCCACA